AAACAACTGTTTCATTCTAATGTTTTCCCTAGATACAATGATTCTTCCAGATTTCCTTCTACAGAGAGAACTGATTTCCCTTACCCGGCAGGTGTCAATTTCAAACAGCTTCTTGGTTGGGGTGGGACACGATGCCCACTTCCCTTCTCAGCACAGGGATTTTGTCTGGTTTGAACCCACGCGGGTCTCGTTTGTGCTGCCGCTGTCTGTGAGTTCTTTGTGGATCCTGTGATACACGCGTCTGTCACGTCTGGACGACGTTCTTCCCCTGCAGCCACCTGACACCTCGGGCTCTTACTGCCTTTTGCTGGGACCGCCGTGGGCACCAGTGTTCTCGGAGTGTCATCGTACTGCCCAAGGATGGCAAGAGAAAGATGCCAGAGAGCTGGCCAAGGAAGTAACAAATCCCGGGGCAAAGCTAACAAGGAGCCCAAGTCTAAGTCTGTACGTGCTCAGAAACCTAGTCCAGCGTGACAGAGCTCTGTAAGAAGGGTCCCAACTAGAAGCTTATCACTCTGCTCTGGTCTCTGAGAGACTGAGATTTGGGGTTCCCTGGGCAGGAAGCCCTTCAGGAGCTCCTTAGTAAAGGACTTACCAAACTGTTTCAAGACACTGAACCCCAGTAACTTACATCAGAAGCACAAAGTGTGGAGAAGGCCCAGCCACTGGCAAAGATGTATAGACAGGTTCAATGGGCTGTACATTTAGAAAAATAAAAGTATTTAATAATAAATAAATTCACATTTAAGTTTACATTTTCATGTTTAAAAATAAATGTAAAAAAGAGTAAAATGTTTTAAATAAAAATCTAGAGTGGTGTTTGCCTAGAACACATGTATATTCTGGTGTACTTTAACACGTGTACAATACCCATTGCCACCTATACATGGGACAGAGGGTTTATATCTGGAATATTTAATGAACAATAAAACTAATCATTAAAGCTAATCTAATAAAAACGTTTGCAAATGAATCCAGTGATAGTGAAGAAACACAGGTGACTAATATATGAACACATTTTAAAAATATATTTGAAAAATGGTTCAATATAGCTAAAATCACAGAAATGTCCATGCTCATTATCTGCCTCCCTCCCTCCGCTGTCACGATAGCTGTTATGAAGAAAACAGCTGAGATGAAATGCTAGCGTGGATACAGGGGAGGAGGATTCCTCATGCATTGCTGGTACGAGTGTAAACTGGTGCAGCCCTGTGGAAGTCAGTATGAAGGGTCCCCAAAACCCAAAAGGGGAACTAATATATTGCTCTAGTTCTGCCATGTCTGGATAGAGACACAAAGGAATCAGAGCCATCATGCCGTAGAGCACACCCATGTTACTGCTTGGAGATCATTTATCACGAAAGCCAGGACAGGGAAGAGCCTCGGTGCCCCTCCCCCATCAGATGAATGGATGAAATCTGGTACATATACACAATAGGATTTTATTTGTATGTCAAGAATGGAATTATGTCATTTGCTGGAAATAGGTGGAAATGGAGACTATTAAGTGAAATAAACTGGAGCCAGAAAGACTTTAAAGGCATCATTCCAATCTCTCCTCTTTGTGTGGATTCTTGGTAAGTGCATCACATTTCTCAAGGCATTCTTTTTTAGTGCACAGTTGCAAGAGTTATGCATGTGTGAGTGGCTGCTTGTGCATGAATGTGGAAGTCAGAGGACAACCCCAGCTGTTACTCATAAAGGCCATCTTCTCCCTTTGAGACAGGCTTTTCCACTACCTGAAGCTTGCCAACCAGGCTAGACTGGCTGCTTAGCAGTCCTCAGGGACCTGCCTGCCTTAGCCTCCGCAGCACTGGGATTGCAAATAAGCACTGCTATGCTTGAGAGTTTGATATGCGTGCTGGGGACTGAACTCAGGTCCACATGCGTGTAAGGCACCTCAGCTCTCAAGGAATTCTTTTCAGAAGGACACCAGCAGTTGGGTCTGGTTGCCCATATCTGGTCATCCGGGGCTTTAATGAGGTTGAGGGTGGGAGCATCACAAGTTCAAGGATGGTCTAAGCAAAACGGTAAGACACAATTCCAGAAAAAGAGGGTACTCGCAATAAATAAAATTGAAGGTCACACTAGTCCTGTATGACTTTATGTCTGTATGACCTTATGTCTGTCATGGTTTGTTTTATTTATTTATTTATTTATTTTTAATTTTTAGTTAATTTTTTTCATGCAATGTATTTTGCTTGTTTTTTCCCTCCCCTAATTCCTCCCATATCCTCACCATCTCCCTATCCACCAACTTTAAGTTCTAAAGGTTTTATTTGCAAATATCATTACTTGGTAATAACATTAAACAGATATCTGTGGGGGGACTGCCAATTCAAACTATAATAATCTAACTTTGGTTCCTGATAACACACATATATGTGTACACACACACACACACACACACACACACACACACACACACACACACACACTTCTGTTTCTGAGTATGATGGCTAATCTTGGTTGTCAAACTAGACTACATCTGGAATCAATGTGGAGGCCCACAAAAGTTTCCTAATAAGATCTGAGCTTGCTTTACCCAGCAGAGCTACATTAGAGGATTGTTTGACCATGTGCATGGTTTCTAGGTAATTGGAAGGGTCTATACTTGGCTGAGCTAGGGGGCAGGTCTTTTGTTCCACCCCTTGGCATTTCTATAAATAGCCCTTTAGAAGAGACAGAAGGGACCAGTGGATAAGGATCTAGGCCCTCCCGAGGCTATCCTGTGTTTCTGTTTCTCTCCCCTTTATCCTTCTATCTAAATCTCTTATCCCTCTCTCCTCAAGAGTACCCTGGGGTAAAATGTGGGAGACGGTCTCTCAGCTGGTCTCCTACAAATAAACTAAAACTCAAACAGCAGGGCATGCTTGTGGCATTTTCTTGATTGGATCATGTGTTGTGGAAAGATTCATTCTAAATCTGGTCCACACCATCTGGTGGCAGCCCACATAAAATGATATGGAAGAAGGAAGCTTTTGCTTTTTGCTTGCTTGTCCTCACTCTTGCTGGCAAGTCCATTAATCCAATTGCTGAGGCCTCCTTCATCAGTATTAGAACCCACTTCTTTGGGATTTCAACATAGGCTGAAGACCAGCAGCTCTTCAGTAATCCTGTTGGGTTCCAGTACCATAGCAGGAGATAGCCACTGTTAGACTACTCAGATCACAGACTAGAAGATTCTCTCTCTCTCTCTCTCTCTCTCTCTCTCTCTCTCTCTCTCTCTCTCTCTTCCTCCTCCTCTTCCTCTTCCTCCCCTGCTTCCCTCCCTCCCCCTCTCTCTTCCCTCACCACATTCATTCTTTCTGTTCTGTTAGAGAAGCTTGACTAATGTCCTGAGGCTGGCCTAGAATCTACCACATAGCTGAGGTGAGGGTGACTTTGACCTGGTCAGCTCACCTCTACTTCCTAAATGCTGGTATTGCAGGTGTATGCACTGTGTGCAGACTGACCTTCAGCTCTTTCAGGCTTTGTAAGATTTTATCAGCTGAGTTACTCCCAGCCCCAGCTCTGGCTAGTACGTGTTTTTCTCACATGTGAAAATTTATTTATTTTACCCCTAAATTATCTACTTTTTAACAACGTGCTCTCAAAACTTTGTACTATTTACTATCGCTTACATAGTCAATGGTAGTTATGATCTGGTTGATTCTGGACAACATTATTTTCCATTTATAGATTGTGAAAATATGTGAGTAATGTACTTTCAGAATAAAATTGTGGAACAAATGCAGGATCGGTATGTATGTTCCACAGCTTTTGGATGCATTCAATAGTACCAGGCATCAGTTCCATCTTGTGGAGTGGGCCTAAAGTCTAATCAGAAAGTGGTTGGTTGGTTACTCCCATAACCTGTGTACCACTATTACGCTAGTGGGCATATCTTACCAGGCCAATTGTGTTATTCTAGTTTATAGGGTTCACAGCTGGGTAACAGTGTTGATGATGACTTTTCCTCCCTAGTAAGAATGCATAGTATCTTTCAGCACTGTGAAAGCTAGACAGTAGGATGAAGCTTCCAGGTCAGTATCAGCTTGATTTCTCTGTGTCCTATGACTCAGGTATGTGGTGTCTTCGGTGGTAAAGTCTTACCATAACTTTATGGTAAGGATAACTAGGAGCAATGGCGGTAGCTTGTAATGTTAGCGGTAGGATCCCAGTGGCCAAAAACTCAAAAAGACATAACCCATCCCTGGCACAAGGCTCTTTATTTGATAGCCTATGGTGTGTAAGTGAGGCATTGTTCCCTTGTTACAGGTTAACTCCCTATATCCATTCTGCTTTAAGACTTCGGAAGAATTCTTATGTTTCTATCCAGTGATGGTACCCAAACCCTTTGAATCTATAGCAAAGGAGAACTTCCTTCTTCTCTCTGTACCTAATGAAGTGACTAAACCTTCCAGAATAAAAGTGAAAGTGTCTCTGGGACCTGCACATATTTCTCTGTGGCTGTGCTAACAGGGGCAAGTCTCATTAAACAACACTCAGAGTCCTTCTGCTTTTTCCGTAAGTATCAAATGTATTAGTAAGTAACCTGTCAGTCCAATTCCTGCCCGTGGGACCACAAGAGGAGTGTGAAAGCCTTACTCAATTTCATGAAGTTAAAAACAGAAAGAGGAAACTTTTCCATATGTAAATGGTGGGCTTACAGCCAGAGAGAAAAATTTAATTGAAAATTGATATGTTTCTTATATTTTTGGTTGTAAGCTGAGCCTTTAATGGCTAAACCATCTCTCCAGCCTGAAAAAAAATCTGTTTCTATGTTAAATCTGGTTGTCAGTTTCTAAAGACCGACTAGAAAAAGAGTTGAGAGGGATTGTAAAGTTGACTTTAGGTGGCTCATGGGGTGACTGGCACCTCTTCTGTAACCCAGACATCTACAAACGGGGATTTCATTGCTATTTTCCCCAATGCTACACAATTGTCTCTTCCTTTTGAAACTGCCCATCAAGAATGGTCCCAAACCCAGACACTGGCAGCAATCAGATGTCAGTAAACAAAAGCAGATGATGCAGAAAGTTATATTTTTATTGGAAAGCAAGTGTTTGAGGAAGCTCCAGGGTTAGGTGTCCTACAGAAAAGCGAATGTGAGTAGAGGGTTGTCCATGAACCAGAGACCTGGGACCACATCGCAGGCGGCATCTGGAAGGTGCCATAGACTTGACTCTGGTGAGGTGAGTCCTGGAGGGAGAAGGGGTAAACAAGAGCAGTCAGGAGTTGAGGTGTAGATGAACAGGTGTCTGCCTCTTCCAATTCTCCCAGAACCAGCCTCTACAAACTAAGGTGCCCAGCCACTAATGACTCCAATGGACCCCAAGTGTGTGCACAGTTTTTGTGGCTCTCCCTTTCTTAATGCAAACAAAGCGGTGAACATTTGTCTCTCTGCTAGGGCTCAGGCTTCATTCCCAGTGTTGCAAATGTCCAGCAGCAACTTGTGGACACTTACTACCTTGTACTCACATTTGAATGTGTCCTGCGTCCCAAGCACAGATTTAAAAAGAAAAATGAAACAACTGTTTACTAACTTTATTTTTTGAGAATCTCATGCACATCTATAGTGCATTCTGATTACGGCCAATTTCGCCCTCTCCTACCTTTCACTCATCCTAATTACTCCCACTCCTCCCTACAAGTCTCCTTCTCACAATCATATATTTTTGTTTTGTTTTCTGACCAGCTGGGTTTAACCAGGGCCACTAACATGCCCACAAGCCTGGGACTGCCCATTGGACTCTAACAGGTTCATCACTGGGCACACAACTGAAGATAGTGTCTGCCCCAAACAGATCTTTGTAATCGTACCTTCCATCTGATGGAAAAGACAGCTAATCCTTAACCCCATGGTTTATGATGGAAAACGGAGGTAATAGGAACTCAAGAACACTTATTGGTATGGAGAAAGAGATCATCTGCAATAACATCTTATACCAATAAAAGCAAGAAACCAATTTTAACCAAGCCAAAGTGTAAGAAAAAATAAGATTACATCATAAATGTTAAATACGATTGCATAGGTGGTACATATTTAGTAATATAAACTCTATGTTTAAAAAAAACCATTGAGAAATACTCCCTTAATGTAGGAGTTCAGGACCCATTGTTAACCCGGGTAGCTTGCTCTGCCTCTATCATACCACATGCTCATTTACCAGGACATGCTCATCATATTTCTAAAAGTTTGTAACATAATGCTTCTACTGATAGGAACCAATGGGTATCAATCCCATAATGGACCCAGGGCTTCCTTATATACCATACATAAACACTTGGATAAATATCTCTCCTATTTGGTAGAAACATACCTTGATATTGACCTTGGTCTTTAGTTGGTTAATGACTATATTAGCTCTTAAGTTGAGTATATAGGCCTTCTCCTCCCTTTGTAAAATAGCCACCTCCATTAAAATTTCTTCTTTGTTGATAGTTGTCTTGTGATTTCTTTTGGTATTGTTCAAGATATCCTTTATAGGATTGTGAGCGTTCTTGTCCAAATTGGCGTTGTTGTCCAAATTGGGATAAATCTTGCTCTGTTTTTACCTGTTGGCTAGACTTTTGTTGTACAGATGTATCATCATCATATTGTTTACGCACTTGTGATAGCCCTCCACCCGTAGCAAATCCTTTCTGCTGAGTTTGTTGAGAAAAACCTTTTAGGGATTTTGTTTGGCCAAAGGATTTTAGTTGGCCACTTTGGGATTTTAGTTGGCCAAAGGATTTTAGTTGGCCACTTTGGGATTTTAGTTGGCCAAAGGATTTTAGTTGGCCACTTTGGGATTTTAGTTGGCCAAAGGATTGTTGGGCTACTTGGGATTTTTGTTGGGCATAAGATTTCAGTTGGGCATCTTCACCAAAGGATTTTAGTTGACCATAGGATTTTAGTTGGGCATCTTGGGATTTTAGCTGGCCATGAGATTTCAGTTGAGCATTTTGAGACTTCAGTTGTCCATAGGATTTCATTTGTCCATAGGACTTCACTTGAGATTCTTGGGATTTCACTTGTCCATAGGATTTCATTTGTCCATAGGACTTCACTTGAGACCCAAGGGATTTCGCTTGTCCAAAGGATTTTATTTGGGATTCCTGGGATTTTATTTGGGATGTTTGTCCTTTACGACAAAGTGCGGCCCCCTTCACACCTGTGTGTTCTTGTGATAGACGTGCCTGTTGCACCTGTTGCATGCTACCACCCTTGCTGTATGCTTGTTGTTTTGTTTGCAAGAAAGCACTTTCTTGAGCAGCATCCTCGCTTCCTCCTTTGAGCCCATAACTGACATGACCTTTCATAAATCCTGAAGAGCTACTCGTGAAGCCACCTTTTGTGAAGCCACCCTTTGTGAAGCCCCCTTTCGTGAAGCCACCTTTCGTGAAGCCACCTTTCGTGAAGCCGCCTTTTGTGAAGCCACCTTTTATTCCACCTGGAAATTTATAGTAAGAATGTTTGTTATATTATCTGCATAGTTCCTTCCAAGTCTTATCCCCAAAATTTCCTCATAAAACTGTTGATTTTCCCACAAGGGATTTGGGTTTGGGTAGAGAAGAATTAAGTCTCATCAAAAAGATCACCCTATGGAAGGATCTGTCACTCCCAGAGCACCCTTAAGGACACTCTCCCTGAGTGGCTTTCCCCCTAGCCACCATATTCATACTCACCATATTGTCCAACCACAGCTGCCTGTCTTTCCAGAATGAGGAGCAGAGAAAGGATGAAGACTAAGGACTTCATCTTGTCAAGAAGGGCCTTCACTGAGAACTGAACTGAGGTGCTCATTTATATATTCTTTAGCTGGGTGTACCACTGATGTGGCTGAAGCTACAAAAGACACTGCCCCCCCTTTTTTATTATCTCTAAATGTCAACTTCCTCCCCTCTGCGCTGTTGGGGACATTGGTAATGTTCCCAGGGATTTAGTGCAAGGACGCAATGTTTTCCTGTTATAACCCTCAGCAAATATTTATCAACCTTCTGAGTTTATCACATACTCTTTGCATTTTCAAATGAAATCTGGAGTCGAGTTGGGGAGGGACTTTTTGTCATGCTCTGAAGTAGCCAGGGCCTGATCAAGTTTTCCCAGTCACAGTGTAGTGGTGCTTTTTTCATCGTGACATTGTTTAGCCTGCTATCATACAGAAGCTCATAAAGCTGCTTGTTTGACATTGAGTTTGACATAGCTTCTCATTTACACGCAAAGGAGCATTCATATGTGTAGAACAACATAGGAAGAACTGAACACAAGGAAACCCAAGGTAGAAAGTTTAAAGACTAAACGGAGAGGTTAAAGATGTGGTTGTGTGGTAGACCAGTTGCCTATCACATATGAGGCTCTTGATTGAAACCTCGACTCTGGAAAAAAAAATAACTGGGGCACATCAATGTCCAAAAGTAGCTCTGAGCTATATAACTATAAACATGGACATACCGGTGTCAATATTTATCTAAGAGAGAGATGGGTACATGCTTCTACAATTAGTTTATTCTGGAAAGACAAGACCTCCATGGTTGTGGTGGTTTGTTAGCTGTAGCATTTCAAGTAGACTGTGTGTGTAGTGGAATGAGCTTAGGGATGTATCCGGAAGGCAAGGTGAAGTACAGAGGCATTTTAAAGGGGGAAGCATTACAATAAGTGAACGGTGATAGCAATCACTGTTGGAAAAACAAGAAAGAGTGTTGGTTTCCTTACTGAATGTATGCCATGGAGTCCAACAAAAACGAAAACCCAGTATTTTAGTACAGAAAACTCTGACCGGTGTGTCAGCTGCACTGGCAGCAGGCTGTGGGGAACGCTGGTGATGCCATTAGTATCCTGAGACAAGATGGAAGACTTGCCTTCTTGTTTAGAAACAAAGCTTAGCACAGCTGTGAGAACAGCATAAAGGGCTCATTATGGCATTGGCGACTCAGACATACACTCAAGAGGACAAATACTGTGGACATGTGCTTGGGAGAAGAGAACATCCCTACAGTATTCCATTTTACACTCAGCCATATGAAAGTAGTTCCATGAGGAAGTCTACTTGAAAACATAGTTTCAGTCATCCCAGCCAACATTCTGGGTAGTGCTGTATGGAAGGGGCAAACAAAAAACCTAACCAGGCCATCACAGCAAGAAAATGCACAAAGGAAATGTAATGTAAACCACATGGTTTGGGTGATTTTACACCAAGCCACTCTGATCTCTTACTGAACTGGTCTCTGTCCCAGGGGAGTAACTATTTCCCTTGGGAGACCAGTGAGTCACCCTGAAATGATTCTAACATACAATTGCTAACGATACCCACTCAACCCTGACCCCACTTCCCACGTCTCTTTGTTTTAGAAAAATCCAGGAAATGCTTCAGTCAGCAGCAATAAGGAAAGGATCAGAAATTTTTGATATTTCTGAATTAAGAGCAAATTTTTTGACAATCTCTTTTGTAAAATGTAGATAAAACTCAGGAATAAGATGTGTGAACAAAAAGCAGGAAGTTGAAAATCACAAATACCATGTAATTATGCAATACATACCAGAAGAGAATGCATTGAAATGAAAATTTAAATTTAAACATTCAACATACTGGCAAAAAATGAAAAGAGAAATGGGCAATTGAAAGACTAGAAAAACAAGTGGAGAGTAAGTCACACATACTGATTTCAAGAGAATGACAGTACAACTCTTGCTGCTGGATAATTTTTAAAAATATAGGACATTTTCCTTTTGAAAACATTTTATTACTAACAAGGGTTGCAAAATTTCACTCAGATGTTGTGAAATAATATGCTTAGGGAACAGAAAAGGAGATTTAAGAGTTTTGCTTAATTCTATGCAAGAAAATTACTTGACAACCTGGAAAATATAAGGTAAATTATCCTAACAACAGGCAGAAAACCTAAAGTGTATGAATATCATGGGATTACAGAAGTCCATCCAAAATTATCTACCCTAAGCTCATCATCTCTGTAGAGTGGATGAAGGCCTGGGTGAATGTGTATTTTTGACATGAGCACGGCCATGTCAAGGATGCCAATGCCTCAGAGCCATGGAAATGATAAGGCCTTCACTTGGCCCAAGTATGGATGATGATGAATGGTTGACCTTTAGTTAAAACCAGTGTGTACAAAAACTACCAACCACAGCTTCCTCATCCAGATGACTGCAGCTTGAGACTGCTCCCCTACAGAGACCTCCTACCAAGATTAGCTTGCCTGCCTCCTCCTCCATGTCGTATATAATCAACACACCAAGTTTCTGCTGCTGGTGTGTCTCCATCAGAGAGCATGGCCCACCTGATCCCAGCTTTTCTGGACATGTCTCTGTCATTTGTTCATTTCCAGTAATGGCCCCGTCAGGTCAGTTCCAGAACGGTGCAGCTTATACAGCCATCTGTGCCGTAAATGTAGTGGTGTTAGGAATCAGTCTACAATTACATGAATGAAGAACCTTATATTTTAATATATGTGACATAAAATTTACTATAGTAAATATTTTTTTTTATTTTTCAACTTCATGCTTTTAAGTACACCAGTATTGCTAGTATCCATCTCCAGATGTTTTTCATGATTACAATCCAAATCTGTGGTATTATATAACACTACATTTCTCTCACATCTCAAACCATCATAATCTACTAATTCATTATGTGTCTCTATGAATTTTATCATCTGGGGTACTTATACAAGTGAAAAAATGCAATATTTATTCTTTTATATCTGGTGTTGTTTCTAATTTAATGTCTTAAAATATCAGTTTTTTAAAAAATAACTCAAATTTTAAAAATAATTTTTGTGTTATTCATATGGGTGTTTTGCCTGCATGTATGCTGTGAGCCACGTATATGTTCAGTGCCTGTGGAGGCCTAAAGAGGGCACTGATCCTTTGTAACTGGAGTTACAGATAATTGTTATAGCAACCATGTACACGGGAGGAATTGAACCCAGGTCCTCTGACAGAGCAACCAGTGCTCTTAATCACTGAGCCATCTTGCCAGCCCCATTCCATAACTCAGTTTTGAAAATGAGCATACAGTCAAGAGTTTTCAAGTGTTTCAGCACAACTAACATGTCAGGAATCAACTGAATTAAGTCAGAAAGAAACCCCCAAAACTCCAGAAAAGTCATTTTCTTTTTTTTTAAACATGAAATTAGGAGTATAAGAAATACATAACATTATATGAATAATTGGGTACGATTTTTCAGCACAAAAGAAATCAGAAAAATTAAAAGTTTATCAAATAAGACAGAAGAACGTACCTCCTATCTGAACAAGATGCTTGTATATTTCTGTGAGGAAAAGAGGTAACTGTATAGACAGACACACACTAGCCTATGCTGTGTTCATTCACGCTCCCTTAAGTCCTCCACCACTGAGACTCTGATAAATGGGGTGGTTATATCCATTTTTTTTTTTCCGAGACAGGGTTTCTCTGTGTAATTTTGGTGCCTGTCCTGGATACCAGGACCAGGTCTCAACTCACAGAGATCC